ACATTCTTCATAACAAGCAAGGGAGTATCAATATCAATATTTTAGTAAAACACTGTAAATTAATAAAATTTATTTTATTATTTTTTGTCATGTTAAAAACACAACATTTTACCCCCTTTCAAAGAATTCTGATTGGGAAACATCTGGGTGAATTTTGTTCAGGAAAATATAGAGATAGAAAACTGACCAAAATAACACCAATTTTTGCATTGTGCTCTGCGCCTGTCGAAGTCGAAGAAGGGCTTAATTGGAAAATGACTTGAGCCCGGAAGGTAAATGGACGAGGTGTTTCAAACAGAGAGACACCTCGGGAAAGTGGATGCCACCATTCACTTGCCACCGGCTTGGGGTGACGGCAAATTATCCGGTTTCCCGCTGATGGGTAAACTGAGCCGGAAAAGGGCGGGGGAAAAACGGAGTGAGGAAATGGACCCCAATGAATGGCATCCGTAAGCCGCAACAAAAGCTGTTCTCCGGCCTCTTTGTCATCATTGTGTCGGTGTCTCAGTGTTCATTGTCATTGTCATTTGTCTGATGTCGAAGCGCATTTCCACAGCAGTTGCCCCAAGGAATCGACAGGTGGGTCTCAGGTGCTGTGACCTTGATCCCTGATGGGAATCCGCATCCTGAATTTCCCCATTATCCGCCTTTTAAACGATGGATACTCTTTCGGATGAAGGGCGTTCAATCAGGCAGAGTAATTACATGGTTGGATTTGGATTTGGATTTGGTAGTGGAGAGTTTTAGATACAAATTTTGTTTAACATCCTTTTTCTTTTATTTTTTACTTGTGGGAAAAAATGCGGGAAGTAATGGTGTTTTAAGGCAAAGTCCATACCTCCTGCCTAATCCACTGATTACATGCACTAAATCCTACCCCCACCCAATCACCTCAATCATTATAGTACCATACTATTCAGCTGCTCCAATTCCAGGAAATAGTTCTTCTTCGGAACTTGATCAAAGAATAAGTAAGAAATATTAAGCCAATAATAGGGATTTAAGTGGAAATCCTTACTAGAAACATTAAGAGTTATCAAACCAATTGCTTTTCCTTTATGTATTACTGCTGAAAAAAAAGTTTAAAAAAGTAGATGGCAAAAAAAAAGGTTTTAAAATTTAATTATATTTAATTGGCTAAAAAATATTTTATTTACAATCATATAACTTAAATAGGCTCTAAATAGGCAAAGTGTTAAACATTAAAGACCATAAAGATTACCATTTCTAATTGAAATATAAGCCACAATTTTTATCTGCGATTCTTGGGTTTATTTATACCTAAATTAATTTCGGGCAAATGTTACACATATGTGGGCAATAAAGTATTCATTAAAGTCAATTAACAAAAGAGGAATGGGAATTTCAGAGTATCCGGCTTCCATTCATTTGTAATAAACTTTAATTTAAATATTTGATTTTACATGAACATTCTTGCATATTTTTGTTGTGGGCAATAAATTCCTTATTAAATGTAATTAATTTGATTGGGTTGCACAATTTTAATTTATATATATTACTTTGTTTTTTGTTTAAAATTTAGAACTACATTTTTTGTTCGTCATATGTGTCCTAAGTGGCACTCTATAATGCCGCACACCTGTGCATGCAGCCTTTATGTTATGAGCATTTCGCATCCAATTAGATTGATAAGGCCAGAAGGTACGTGAACTATTAGCCTGGGTCCTCGTCCTCGTCCTTGTCCCCTCACCAACCTCCCCCCCTTTCACCACCGATTAAATCGCAACCCATTCGACGAGAAGAGTTCACTGGGGGTAATAATGGCGATGATAATAACTATGATTACGATGATGGGGGTCATGTGAGGACGATGCCAAACGAATGACGGCTCCCGTCGCTAGAATCGTTAACAATTTCTGACATTTTGATTTATAAATTCTCCACCAAGTCCACCTCCTATTTTATTCGCGTCTATTCTGGCTCCTGTTGTTCTCCGCCTTTTTGCGAGCTCCTCTTCACAAAGTGAAATTTACGTTTGATCCCCAAACAGTGAGTTTGGAGGTGGGAAATTGGCCAAAAAAAAATGGCTGGAGAAGACTGGCAAAATTGCTCCATCAGGTCCCAGAGAATGGGAAAATGGGAACGCGATGGGCCAGGGTTCAAGCAACGCTCTGCTCTCGGTTCGATGCCATTAAATGTTATTATACACTCGAGTGTGTAGCGAATATTCGGATGTTCTTGTGCGGGGGAGTCCCCATCCAAATAAACCAGTTCACCAGAACCCCGATCAAATATCCCTGAAATCTCAAACAATCAAATCGCAATCTGAGATGTGTGTTCATTGCTTTTAAATATACACTTTGTTCTTTGTTTACTCTTTCACTATTTGAAAAAACTATTAATATTTACTAACGAATCTGGAAATGGCATAACTGCCGTAAATCTTTTTTAAAATTGCTCAAGAAAATGATAATTTTTTAATAGTAAATAATCAAGTCGTTTTATTGTTAATACCAACTAATTAGATATTATCTTTCAGAAATATTCAACAAAATGTTTATAAGAAATATATCTATATTATTAATTTATTATAATTTAACTACCACACTTGAGCAAATAATAAATAAAGATGTACTTACATCCGTTTATAAGTTTTCTCGTTTTGGGAAATGAGTTCATTTTTCATTGTTTATGGCACCGCCACTAGAAGGCGCCACTATCACCACCAGTGGCGGAATGTAGATGGCGCCGCCACTCAATCAAGCCGCAATTGGTAGTGCCAGCCAACCGTCGAGTGTTTTGATTAAACGTTTCGCTTTAATTGCTCCATCATCATTGCGGTGGTGGGTGGTGCTTTGTGGGTGGTGGGGTGGTGGGGTGGTGGATTGGAGCCATGCCCCGCACGGTGGTGCATTTTATGTGCGTGCTCGAGTGTGCTTCGCTGGTGAAGTGATGCGTACGGGCAAAGACCATTGAACTTTGCCGTGCAAATGGGAATAGATGACGAAGGCTATGAATATGACATGACCACTATTAGCCACAAAATTAGCCTTTCGTGTTTGATTGATTTTGGAAGGCAAATAAAGAAAATATTCGTATTTAAAACGATTAATAAAAACTTATATGAAATATTTTAAATATTAATTTTTTAAGACCTCTTTTACATTTTATTGGTTTTTATAATAAATGAATTTAATTATTCAAATAAATAATACAAATTGTAAAATAGTTAAATTTTACTAAAAACATATTTTACCATTAAATGAAATGCAAGTTATAGTACATTTAAATATAATTATCTATTAGGAATAAATATAAGGAAAAGATTTAGAGTGTATCCGTTAAGTGTACAGTCTATTATATATTTGTTTAACCCACTCTCTTCAATTCCAACAACAAGTTAAGCCTGTTTTTGAATGAGATCCGAGAGAGTCGAATTCAGCAAAATAAATACCTGGACTCACGATCCGATCCCTATTTCACATCTACACCAATATCTTCTGGTTCACACGCCCATTATAATATTCAAGTACACAACTAGCACACGAACAAGCTGATTATTCGCCTTATCAAAGTGCATGCTGTGTTTTTTAAAACGATAACAGAAATAAATTAGGTGGACGGAAGAGTACTCTAAATTAATAATGAAAAAATAAGGTTTTGCACTTTGATATTTTTAAGACATTGCACTTAAATATATTAACAGAAATAAAATATAATTAACAAAAATTTGATTGACACAATTATGACAGCAACTTTATATCTGAAATTAGTTTTTTGTTATAACGTTTATTTCTTAAATGCACTTTCAAGATAAGAGAACCACAAAAACCACACATAAACAAAAACAAGTTTAGAAATAAAATAAACGAGGACGGAAGGTAACTTCGGCAAGCCGAAGTTTTAATACCCTTGCAGACTTTGCCGAAATTGCTAAAAGTGAAAAAGTAGCGAAAGGAATAAGGAATACATAAGTAAACTAGATTTGCATCATTTCAAGTCAATTGCTTTTATACTGCAAAAATGTCATATACAAATAGAAAAAAAGGGATACTTTCGCAGCCTTTAACAATTTTTCCTATCTCCTTTAAGATATAGACTTCCGAGCGGCAAGCGCTTTTACCCTAATCAAGATATGCGTAAATAAATAAGAATTAGAAAAATTTATGTTAGTAGCTTACACACTGCGCGAAATATTCTGATAATCATCAACTTTGGACCGATTTCACCCTATTGTTCCTATGGGAGCTATAGGATATAGACGTCCGATCGGCACGCGCTTTTACCCTGATCAAGGTATGCATAAAAAAATACGATTTGGAAAGATTCATGTCAATAGCTTTTACACTGCGCGAAATATCATCAATTCTTGCAAGATATATCCGATTGTTCCTATGGGAGCTATAGGATATAGACATCCGATCGGGGCGATTTTCAAACTTGATCTGCGTACACATGTTTTAGGACGAGTGTGAAAGTTTCAGATCGCTAGCTTTTAAACTGAGCTCGCAAACGGTATTGAAACAGACGGACAGACGGACAGAAGGACAGACGGACAGACGGACAGAAGGACAGACGGACAGACGGACATGGCTATATCGACTCCCCTGTTGATCCTGATCAAGAATATATATACTTTATAGGGTCGGAATCGTCTCCTTCACTGCGTTACAAACTTATGACCAAAATTATAACACCCTCTTCAAGGGTATAAAAACAATCGCCACGAAAATACAATGTATTCAACAAACAAATATGAATAACATTTTATTTTATTAATTAATGGAAGTTAATTAGGGAGTTTTCAAAACAAATCAGACATTTAAAATATCGCTTATAATACCCATTAAATTACTTATTAAAGATATAGATAAACTTCTTTATATGTACAAAATTTAAAGTTGCCCTTAAAATTCAAAATTAAAATACTATTTCCGAACATGTCACGTAATACTGACCTTCGCCACAGCTAAGTGACTTTTTCCGCAGGGTATTATCGCTGTCAACAAAGGAGCCACAAAGACAAGGGGAGTATAAAAGAAGTCCCCAGCAATCGGAGCTCCAGACCTCAGCTGCTCGTGCCTTCAAATACATCGTCTTTTTTTTCTTCGTTTCTCTTCAGTAATAACTCCGTAATGCCACGCCCAGTACTGCTAATTCACGGCGGAGCCGGCGATATTTCCGACTCCAGAATCGTGGGAAAGTTCGTGGGCATCAAGCAGGCGCTCCGCTCCGCCTGGGGATTGCTGAGTCCGGAAAATGGCAGCGAAGGGAGTGCCCTGGACGCCGTGGAGGCGGCCGTGCGGAGCATGGAGCTGGACGAGAACTTCAACGCCGGCTACGGGTCCTGCCTGAACACCAGCGGCCAGGTGGAGATGGAGGCCAGCCTGATGGAGGGTCGGGATCTGCAGGCCGGCTGCATAACCCTGCTGCGGGACGTGATGCATCCGATAACGGTGGCCCGCCGGCTGATGGAGAAGCAACGGCATACCTTTCTCGGCGGCGAGGCTGTCCAGGAGCTGGCCCTGGCCACCGGAAGCGAGAGGCTGCCGCCGGGAGCACTCATCACCGAGGGTGCACGCTACACGCTGAAAGAGTTCCAGGAGCAGGTGGCCCAGGGCAAGGATCCCTTCTTTGCGCGCACGGAACTGGCCGAGGACAAGGAGAAGGTCCCACCGAAGACGGATCCCAGTGGTGAGACCGTGGGCGCCGTGGCCATGGATGCTGCTGGTCAGATTGTGGCGGGCACTTCCACCGGCGGCATCACCGGCAAGTGGCCGGGTCGCATCGGGGACTCACCGATACTGGGCAGCGGCACCTATGCGGATAACTGCCGCGGTGGGGTCTCCACCACCGGGCATGGCGAGACCATCATGCGATACAACCTGGCGCAGCGCATCCTGGCCGCCATGGAGTACCAGGGACTGTCTGCTCAGGCCGCCGCCGACAAGGAGTGTCGCGGAATGACCAAGCGGCTGGGCGGCACTGGCGGCGCCATCGTCGTTGGCCACTCCGGTGACCTGGGCATCAGTTTCACCTCGCACCGCATGGCCTGGGGATACGTGCAGGATGGCACCATCTTCTACGGCATCGAGGGTCAGGTCGTGCACCAGGAGCCGTTCACAGTTCCCACTTAGGGTGTATAACAAAATATATATACCTAAATTACAGGAAATGTCTCACAAACTGTCTCACAAAATGTCTTTTCAAATATGAAGCAATCTATTAAAATTACATATTTACTTTTATAACTATTTTGGGTTTATTTACAACTATTTTACGGACCTACAAAATTATTATACTTTGTACATCAAAATGTCTGAAACACCAGCTTCAAAATTAAATAGGCAATAAATAATAGTAAAGAGAGATAGATTTTTGTTCACATAATTTGTTCCTCTTTATATAAAAAAAAACATTGCCCATTTATTTACACAGCTTAACATTAATAAATAATGTTACGTATATCAATGAGCCTAAACTAAAATTCAAAAGATTGCACTTCATCTAATGCTTTTAGCAAGCTTTTAAATATTTACAATGTTGCTAAATAATAAACTAAGTCTAACCCATTAATATCGGTCAAATATGCAGTTAAAGAGAGCTGTTCGTTAATTTTTTTGACCATTTACAATATTTTAAAACAGGTTTTTTAACGATACAAAATTACAAACTAAATTCGATACACATTTTGCGAACTTTAATTTATCGTAGCTAAATACAAAAAATTGGCTGATTCTATGAAAATTAGACTATACTATAGATGTATATTGCAGAAAATGTTTTTTATCTTAGCATACAAAACACGCTTTCTTCCTAGCCTAAAGCGATCCCTGACTTACTTACGATATTGCCAACAAACCAGCTTAATGGTAACTTATAACTGCCTAATTTCTAGTTCGAGGTAAAGCTCATCCGTTCAACGTCAATCTTTCCGGCTAAGAACTTTGCACAGAATAAATCGCATTGTATGGGGCGGAGAAGGAGCGACAGTGACCAGTGGTCAGCTGCGACTTGCGCCCTGGGGCGCCACATTCCGCTGGGACTCGTGCGCTTCGGTGAGACCGTAGCAATGCTTGGCCGCCGGATCGCGGTACTTGTTCTCGTGCTCCACGGAGTGCGAGTTCGTCCGGCACTTGACCAGACACAGCTCGAAGTGGTCCGACACGCTTGCGAATATGTACTTGGGCGTGTTGGGCGCCTGTAGGACGCGCTCCAGCAGCGGTTGCTGGCCGGGATGCAGGCAGCAGGAGACGCAGTACTCGTACACGCCGCAGCAATGGGTAGTGGTGTTGCAGGTGCGGCAGCTGTAGTAGCCAATGCCGGGAAGCTCTGGATTGCAGCAACCACTGATCAGCACCTCCTCGCGCCGGCACACGAATCCACGCTCGTCGGCCAGCAGCCGGCGACCCTGCACGGAGTTCCGGCAACGCGCCTCCGGATCGCCACGCGTCCGATTGAGCTGCTCCTCCGGCGCCAGTAGCTGCTGCGTCCACAGCAGCGGTCGGGTGCGCTGCACCACATACTCGTCATAGTGTAGACCGGAAAAGGAGTCCTGTGTGGTGAAGAGTAAATCAGCGAATTGCATAATAAAGGGTAAAATTTCATAAATAATTTGTGATTCACTGAGAAGAGATAAGATTTATGGGACTTTAATGGCACCTGGTTAGGTAAAAATGGGTCGAAAAATGACGGGCACCCAGCTCCCGCTCCTGGAAAACTTAGTGCCTGGATCCTGACCGCTGGAGCACCTGCACTCACCCCATCGAAGAGGTGTCCGAATCCGTAGACGAGGAGCAGCAGCACCAGCACAATGTAGACAATGCGACGTCTCAGCAGGCGGGGCAAAACAGCTGGCCACATCCTGGCCACAACCTAGCGCTTCATCACAGCCACCGGCGGCTGGAATCTCTCCGAGAAGCGAGCATGGCGATGGATCTGGATCTGGACCGGAATCTCAATCGGGAACGGGACACTTGCTGCTCGCTACCAGCACTTCCTTGGGCCAAATGTGCCTGGTGCATCGGATGCAGTTGCTCCTTGGGTGGTTCTGACATTTTGATTTATAAATTCCCCACCAAGTCCACCTCCTATTCTATTCTGGCTCCTGTTGTTCTCCGCCTTTTTGCGAGCTCCTCTTCACAAAGTGAAATTTACGTTTGATCCCCAAACAGTGAGTTTGGAGGTGGGAAATTGGCCAAAAAAAAAGTGGCAGGAGAAGACTGGCAAAATTGCTCCATCAGGTCCCAGAGATTGGGAAAATGGGAACGCGATGGGCCAGGGTTCAAGCAACGCTCTGCTCTCGGTTCGATGCCATAAAATGTTATTATACACTCGAGTGTGTAAGCGAATATTCGGATGTTCTGGTGCGGGGGAGTCCCCATCCAAATAAACCAGTTCACCAGAACCCCGATCAAATATCCCTGAAATCTCAAACAATCAAATCGCAATCTGAGATGTGTGCTCATTGCTTTTAAATATACACTTTGTTCATTGTTTACTTTTTCACTATTTGAAAAAAACTATTAATATTTACTAACGAATCTGGAAATGGCATAACTGCCGTAAATCTTTTTTAAAGATTTCTTTGTAAAAAAATGTCTATTAAAACGGACACAGGATTTCTTTAAATATATTTTAGATTAATCTTCCTTTATTATTTCTTAATTTTTTAGCAATTAATACCTTGTAAATTGTACGTTTAGGAATCGTTTAATATATATATTCTTCTGTTAATTTGCCGGAAAACGTATTTTTGGTTTTGAAAAATGCTCAAGAAAATGATAATTTTTTAATAGTAAATAATCAAGTCGTTTTATTGTTAATACCAACTAATTAGATATTATCTTTCAGAAATATTCAACAAAATGTTTATAAGAAATATATCTATATTATTAATTTATTATAATTTAACTACCACACTTGAGCAAATAATAAATAAAGATGTACTTACATCCGTTTATAAGTTTTCTCGTTTTGGGAAATGAGTTCATTTTTCATTGTTTATGGCACCGCCACTAGAAGGCGCCACTATCACCACCAGTGGCGGAATGTAGATGGCGCCGCCACTCAATCAAGCCGCAATTGGTAGTGCCAGCCAACCGTCGAGTGTTTTGATTAAACGTTTCGCTTTAATTGCTCCATCATCATTGCGGTGGTGGGTGGTGCTTTGTGGGTGGTGGGGTGGTGGGGTGGTGGATTGGAGCCATGCCCCGCACGGTGGTGCATTTTATGTGCGTGCTCGAGTGTGGTTCGCTGGTGAAGTGATGCGTACGGGCAAAGACCATTGAACTTTGCCGTGCAAATGGGAATAGATGACGAAGGCTATGAATATGACATGACCACTATTAGCCACAAAATTAGCCTTTCGTGTTTGATTGATTTTGGAAGGCAAATAAAGAAAATATTCGTATTTAAAACGATTAATAAAAACTTATATGAAATATTTTAAATATTAATTTTTTAAGACCTCTTTTACATTTTATTGGTTTTTATAATAAATTAATTTAATTATTTAAATAAATGATACAAATTGTAAAATATTTAAATTTTACTAAAAACATATTTTACCATTAAATGAAATGCAAGTTATAGTACATTTAAATATAATTATCTATTAGGAATAAATATAAGGAAAAGATTTAGAGTGTATCCGTTAAGTGTACAGTCTATTATATATTTGTTTAACCCACTCTCTTCAATTCCAACAACAAGTTAAGCCTGTTTTTGAATGAGATCCGAGAGAGTCGAATTCAGCAAAATAAATACCTGGACTCACGATCCGATCCCTATTTCACATCTACACCAATATCTTCTGGTTCACACGCCCATTATAATATTCAAGTACACAACTAGCACACGAACAAGCTGATTATTCGCCTTATCAAAGTGCATGCTGTGTTTTTTAAAACGATAACAGAAATAAATTAGGTCGACGGAAGAGTACCCTTAAATTAATAATTAAAAAATAAGGTTTTGCACTTTGATATTTTTAAGACATTGCACTTAAATATATTAACAGAAATAAAATATAATTAACAAAAATTTGATTGACACAATTATGACAGCAACTTTATATCTGAAATTAGTTTTTTTGTTATAACGTTTATTTCTTAAATGCACTTTCAAGATAAGAGAACCACAAAAACCACACATAAACAAAAACAAGTTTAGAAATAAAATAAACGAGGACGGAAGGTAACTTCGGCAAGCCGAAGTTTTAATACCCTTGCAGACTTTGCCGAAATTGCTAAAAGTGAAAAAGTAGCGAAAGGAATAAGGTATACATAAGTAAACTAGATTTGCATCATTTCAAGTCAACTGCTTTTATACTGCAAAAATGTCATATACAAATAGAAAAAAGGGATACTTTCGCAGCCTTTAACAATTTTTCCTATCTCCTTTAAGATATAGACTTCCGAGCGGCAAGCGCTTTTACCCTAATCAACATATGCGTAAATAAATAAGAATTAGAAAAATTTATGTTAGTAGCTTACACACTGCGCGAAATATTCTGATAATCATCAACTTTGGACCGATTTCACCCTATTGTTCCTATGGGAGCTATAGGATATAGACGTCCGATCGGCACGCGCTTTTACCCTGATCAAGGTATGCATAAAAAAATACGATTTGGAAAGATTCATGTCAATAGCTTTTACACTGCGCGAAATATCATCAATTCTTGCAAGATATATCCGATTGTTCCTATGGGAGCTATAGGATATAGACATCCGATCGGGGCGATTTTCAAACTTGATCTGCGTACACATGTTTTAGGACGAGTGTGAAAGTTTCAGATCGCTAGCTTTTAAACTGAGCTCGCAAACGGTATTGAAACAGACGGACAGAAGGACAGACGGACAGACGGACATGGCTATATCGACTCCCCTGTTGATCCTGATCAAGAATATATATACTTTATAGGGTCGGAATCGTCTCCTTCACTGCGTTACAATCTTCTGACCAAAATTATAATACCTTCTTCAAGGGTATAAAAACAATCGCCACGAAAATACAATGTATTCAACAAACAAATATGAATAACATTTTATTTTATTAATTAATGGAAGTTAATTAGGGAGTTTTCAAAACAAATCAGACATTTAAAATATCGCATATAATACCCATTAAATTACTTATTTAAGATATAGATAAACTTCTTTATATGTACAAAATTTAAAGTTGCCCTTAAAATTCAAAATTAAAATACTATTTCCGAACATGTCACGTAATACTGACCTTCGCCACAGCTAAGTGACTTTTTCCGCAGGGTATTATCGCTGTCAACAAAGGAGCCACAAAGACAAGGGGAGTATAAAAGAAGTCCCCAGCAATCGGAGCTCCAGACCTCAGCTGCTCGTGCCTTCAAATACATCGTCTTTTTTTTCTTCGTTTCTCTTCAGTAATAACTCCGTAATGCCACGCCCAGTACTGCTAATTCACGGCGGAGCCGGCGATATTTCCGACTCCAGAATCGTGGGAAAGTTCGTGGGCATCAAGCAGGCGCTCCGCTCCGCCTGGGGACTGCTGAGTCCGGAAAATGGCAGCGAAGGGAGTGCCCTGGACGCCGTGGAGGCGGCCGTGCGGAGCATGGAGCTGGACGAGAACTTTAACGCCGGCTACGGCTCCTGCCTGAACACCAGCGGCCAGGTGGAGATGGAGGCCAGCCTGATGGAGGGTCGGGATCTGGGGGCCGGCTGCATAACCCTGCTGCGGGACGTGATGCATCCGATAACGGTGGCCCGCCGGCTGATGGAGAAGCAACGGCACACCTTTCTCGGCGGCGAGGCTGTCCAGGAGCTGGCCCTGGCCACCGGAAGCGAGAGGCTGCCGCCGGGAGCACTCATCACCGAGGGTGCACGCTACACGCTGAAAGAGTTCCAGGAGCAGGTGGCCCAGGGCAAGGATCCCTTCTTTGCGCGCACGGAACTGGCCGAGGACAAGGAGAAGGTCACACCGAAGACGGATCCCAGTGGTGAGACCGTGGGCGCCGTGGCCATGGATGCTGCTGGTCAGATTGTGGCGGGCACTTCCACCGGCGGCATCACCGGCAAGTGGCCGGGTCGCATCGGGGACTCACCGATACTGGGCAGCGGCACCTATGCGGATAACTGCCGCGGTGGGGTCTCCACCACCGGGCATGGCGAGACCATCATGCGATACAACCTGGCGCAGCGCATCCTGGCCGCCATGGAGTACCAGGGACTGTCTGCTCAGGCCGCCGCCGACAAGGAGTGTCGCGGAATGACCAAGCGGCTGGGCGGCACTGGCGGCGCCATCGTCGTTGGCCACTCCGGTGACCTGGGCATCAGTTTCACCTCGCACCGCATGGCCTGGGGATACGTGCAGGATGGCACCATCTTCTACGGCATCGAGGGTCAGGTCGTGCACCAGGAGCCGTTCACAGTTCCCACTTAGGGTGTATAACAAAATATATATACCTAAATTACAGGAAATGTCTCACAAACTGTCTCACAAAATGTCTTTTCAAATATGAAGCAATCTATTAAAATTACATATTTACTTTTATAACTATTTTGGGTTCATTTACAACTATTTTAGGGACCTACAAAATTATTATACTTTGTACATCAAAATGTCTGAAACACCAGCTTCAAAATTAAATAGGCAATAAATAATAGTAAAGAGAGATAGATTTTTGTTCACATAATTTGTTCCTCTTTATATAAAAAAAAACATTGCCCATTTATTTACACAGCTTAACATTAATAAATAATGTTACGTATATCAATGAGCCTAAACTAAAATTCAAAAGATTGCACTTCTTCTAATGCTTTTAGCAAGCTTTTAAATATTTACAATGTTGCTAAATAATAAACTAAGTCTAACCCATTAATATCGGCCAAATATGCAGTTAAAGAGAGCTGTTCGTTAATTTTTTTGACCATTTACAATATTTTAAAACAGGTTTTTTAACGATACAAAATTACAAACTAAATTCGATACACATTTTGCGAACTTTAATTTATCGTAGCTAAATACAAAAAATTGGCTGATTCTATGAAAATTAGACTATACTATAGATGTATATTGCAGAAAATGTTTTTTATCTTAGCATACAAAACACGCTTTCTTCCTAGCCTAAAGCGATCCCTGACTTACTTACGATATTGCCAACAAACCAGCTTAATGGTAACTTATAACTGCCTAATTTCTAGTTCGAGGTAAAGCTCATCCGTTCAACGTCAATCTTTCCGGCTAAGAACTTTGCACAGAATAAATCGCATTGTATGGGGCGGAGAAGGAGCGACAGTGACCAGTGGTCAGCTGCGACTTGCGCCCTGGGGCGCCACATTCCGCTGGGACTCGTGCGCTTCGGTGAGACCGTAGCAATGCTTGGCCGCCGGATCGCGGTACTTGTTCTCGTGCTCCACGGAGTGCGAGTTCGTCCGGCACTTGACCAGACACAGCTCGAAGTGGTCCGACACGCTTGCGAATATGTACTTGGGCGTGTTGGGCGCCTGTAGGACGCGCTCCAGCAGCGGTTGCTGGCCGGGATGCAGGCAGCAGGAGACGCAGTACTCGTACACGCCGCAGCAATGGGTAGTGGTGTTGCAGGTGCGGCAGCTGTAGTAGCCAATGCCGGGAAGCTCTGGATTGCAGCAACCACTGATCAGCACCTCCTCGCGCCGGCACACGAATCCACGCTCGTCGGCCAGCAGCCGGCGACCCTGCACGGAGTTCCGGCAACGCGCCTCCGGATCGCCACGCGTCCGATTGAGCTGCTCCTCCGGCGCCAGTAGCTGCTGCGTCCACAGCAGCGGTCGGGTGCGCTGCACCACATACTCGTCATAGTGTAGACCGGAAAAGGAGTCCTGTGTGGTGAAGAGTAAATCAGCGAATTGCATAATAAAGGGTAAAATTTCATAAATAATTTGTGATTCACTGAGAAGAGATAAGATTTATGGGACTTTAATGGCACCTGGTTAGGTAAAAATGGGTCGAAAAATGACGGGCACCCAGCTCCCGCTCCTGGAAAACTTAGTGCCTGGATCCTGACCGCTGGAGCACCTGCACTCACCCCATCGAAGAGGTGTCCGAATCCGTAGACGAGCACCAGCAGCACAAGCACTATGTAGACAATGCGACGTCTCAGCAGGCGGGGCAAAACAGCTGGCCACATCCTGGCCACAACCTAGCGCTTCATCACAGCCACCGGCGGCTGGAATCTCTCCAAAAAGCGAGCATGGCGATGGATCTGGATCTGGACCGGAATCTCAATCGGGAAGGGGACACTTGCTGCTCGCTACCAGCACTTCCTTGGGCCAAATGTGCCTGGTGCATCGGATGCAGTTGCTCCTTGGGTGGTTCCTGTTGCTTCTCCCAATCGCCTTATCCCCTCGCAGTCCCAACAATCTTCAGATTCCCAAAATAATATATTGCTCTTTTTGTTTTGCTGCAGGTCATAGAGGTGACACTCTGTTATCGATGTTATCGATTACTTCTTTGTTTCCATGTTGATGACAATTAACACCTCCATGTTTAAATAAATGCCAAATAAATATTTAAAATATATTTATTTAGGCTAAAAATCTTCATTTATCTTCATCAGAAAAATTACGAAAAATCTACCCGAAAATACAAAACAAGTTGAAACCCCAGGTTTTTAGAGAATTTAGCCACAATCATTTAGAAGTATGCCATTTTGAAATCGGATGTCTGTAAGAAAAGTTATGGTCTTAGAAGTGCAGGTTTTAGGTCACTTTTATGCAAGGGCATTTTTTGAAAATTTTAAAAGGGTATACATCATAAAAATTACGTAAAATCAACCCAAAAATACAAACCAAGCTGAGAACACAGTTTTTTTAAAAATTAAACCACAATCATTTAGAAGTATACCACTTTAAAATCGGATGTCTGTAAGAAAAGTTATGGGCTTAGAAGTGCAGGTTTTAGGTAACTTTTCAGCAAAGCCATTTTTCAAAAATTTGAAAATTACGAAAAATCGACTAAAAAATAAAAAATAAACTGAGAACACAGTTTTTTAGAGAATTAAACCAGAATCATTTAGAGATATGCCACTTTGAAATCGGATGTCTGTAAGAAAAGTTATGGGCTTAGAAGTGCAGGTTTTAGGTAACTTTTCAGCAAAGCCAATTTTCGAAAATTTGGAAACATCGTTGAAAATGACGAAAAATCGACCAAAAAATAAAAAATAAACTGAGAACGCAGTTTTTTAGAGAATTAAACCAGAATCATTTAGAGATATGCCACTTTGAAATCGGATGTCTGTACGAAAAGTTATGGGCTTAGAAGTGCAGGTTTTAGGTAACTTTTCAGCAAAGCCATTTTTCGAAAATTTGGAAAGGGGTAACATCGTTGAAAATGACGAAAAATCGACCAAAAAATAAAAAATAAACTGAGAACGCAGTTTTTTAGAGAATTAAACCAGAATCATTTAGAGATATGCCACTTTGAAATCGGATGTCTGTAAGAAAAGTTATGGGCTTAGAAGTGCAGGTTTTAGGTAACTTTTCAGCAAAGCCAATTTTCAAAAATTTGGAAACAGCGTTGAAAATGACGAAAAATCGACCAAAAAATAAAAAATAAACTGAGAACGCAGTTTTTTAGAGAATTAAACCAGAATCATTTAGAGATATGCCACTTTGAAATCGGATGTCTGTACGAAAAGTTATGGGCTTAGAAGTGCAGGTTTTAGGTCACTTTTCTGCAAGGCCATTTTTAGAAGATACACAAATTTGCATAAACACAGATGGACGGACGGTCATGATTAAATCGACTTGCCTGGTGATGCGTAGTCAAGAATACATATGCCTTCACTGTGTACAAATGTTCGACAGCAATTATAATACAAATTATATATAATTTTCTTTAAGTGTGAAATTGATTTTAATTAACAAAATTATAAATTAGCTAGAACATTTTCTGATGTCTATTTATATGTATAACTAACTGGATCAGTGTTGTGTACAATCAAACTTCTTCCAATTTTCGGCAAAGGATTTGACCTTTCCGATGGAGTTTGGCTCTTTTCGTGGCTTGCGCCAAGTGTTCGGATTAAGCTCCAGCATTCCGCCAATGATTTCCTGAAATGAAGAAGCAGTTTTAATTTGCATCATGCAATGCGATCATAGCCCACAAACCTGGGCAAAGTTGGCTGGAAAGCGGTTCTCATCCTCGATGACGTGAGCGAATCCGGAGTCCATGCCGAAGTGCACCCACACGTAGGGCAGTCCCTTGGGAATGGCCGCCCGTAGGGACTTCTGGCGCAGCGAGACCAGCTGCTTGTTGATGCACCACTCCTGCTCCGACTCTTCGATGGCCTTCTTGAAATAGAAGGGTGCCATCTCGCCCTGGCTGGCGGGAATGGGGATGCAGTGTACGCTAAAATGCGGACGACGGTGCAACTTGTTGGCGATCTCGTAGAAGACCACGTCCTGGCGTCGGGCGGCAAACATGCGGGTGAGGGCCTTACGGAAGTTGCCCAGCTCTTCCCAGGCATCCTCGTCAAGCTGCGTGCAGCAGGGCACATGTTGCAGCGTCGTCAGGATGCAGTGCCCACTCTGTAGCCCCATGTGCCACGGCAGGCTGAGGTAAATTTTCTCGCCTAGCGACACCAGCAGCTGTTTGTCTAACTTGGCGGAGTCAAAGCAACGTTCACAGTTCTCCAAACTGGACGTCAGCTTCTCATGCTCCCGTATTGCGCTCTGCATCTCCCGCCTCTCGGCATCTCCTGCAGAGATTTGCTTGCGCACTTTGTCTGCGAATATGTCCTCCAAATCATCGTTGGGGTTCTTGTGTTTGGACACAATGTCAGCATACTGCAGGTTGGCTTCTGCGGCCGTGGCATGCTTCTCCCGCTCAAACTGGTGAATGAAGGAGAATTACTATAAATCTTTTGCTGTAAGTATGTTGCTTTGCTTACCATTTGCTTGATATCATAGCGGTCGTCATCAGCAAAGTATCTTACGCGCTGACCATCCACGTGGGTGTCCACCTTCTTGCTGCTGCGTTTCTGTGCTCTTCTTCCGCCGTACAGTTCGTTGGGATCGGCGGAGTGCACCAGGGGACGCACGTTGCCGCTCTGGTCTATCTTGGTGAGCAGCACATGCTCTGCCGCGGCCTTGGACTTGGCTGGTTTGGCTGCTGACTTTGGTACCGACTTGCCGGAGGCAATGAAATCTGCTCGTTCCTTACGTGCTGCTTCCAGCTGCTGATTTAGTTCCGCCGCCAGTTCCTTTTTGCCTTTAAGCTCCGCCTTGATGGCCTTGCCGGCCAGGTCATTGATCTGTTCGTCTGTGAGGCAGGAGGTGGTGGGCTTGGGATGCTCCTCCGCCTCCTCCTCCTCTTCTTCTTCAGGAGAGGAGGCACTCCTAGAGCGAGATCTGCCCCTCCTTTCCGGACTGGGAACCTTGGCACCAGGTTTTCGCCAACCGCGCGAGGATCCCTGCCCGGAGCTGATGGATTGCGGCCTGGTCTGGTGGTCATCGTCGTCCTGTGGCTTCTGAAAGCCAGGCAAACCCGTGCCATTGCTCTTCCAGTAGGGATTAAGCTCCCGGCCGCTTTTGGCCGGATCGTAGGCATCGATTTGTTGCGCCTTCTCGTTGGGCTTGGCCGGTTCCTTGCGTTCCTTGGAGAAGGTCTTCAGCAGCAGTGCCTCGCTGGTCATCCAAGAGTCGCGCTGCAGGGACTCCTTTTCGGTCACCTTCTCCGCCACGGGAGGAGGTGGAGCCTCTTCCCACTCGTCCCCGCTGGCGCTCTCCTTGCGGCTCCTCTTGGACTTCTTTTTGCGCCGCTTGCGCTCCTTTTCATCCTCACTAGAGGAGGCAGACGAGGTGGATGAGCTGGAACTATTGCTGTCGCTGCTGCTGTGGTGCTTCCTGCTCTTCTTGGAGGACTTGGACTTCGACCTGGACTTGTGCTTGGAGCTCTTCTTTTTGGCCTTTTTGGCGGGCTTTTCCAGTTTCTTGGCCACTGCCGGCAGCATCCAGTCGGATTCGCCGCGCAGCTCCTTTTGCCGTTCCCGCTGGTCACGGAGCTCCGCGCGATCCTTGGCCTGCCGCAGCATCTCGGAGCGGGCCTCCCGCAACTCCTGCCGCGCCTTGTCCTTCTCCCTGGCACTTTCGAATTGTATATAGCTCATGTTTAAATTAGTTGTTTACTCCTTTACCAAAACAATGATTTCAAATTAGAGGTGGTTGACTTCATAACAACTAAACATATCGATACTCGATCATTATCGATTTATTATAATACAATTTTTTTAAACTAAATATACTTCATAGCTATGTTCAAATTTGTAAGCTTCCCTAACACTTTGTACTTATAGTTATTTATAAAAATCATAATGTCACTTTTTTTATTGCAGAAATAATTTTCTTTATTGTTCTTAAAATGTTGAAAAAAAGTGTAATTCATAATGACAGATTGAAAACGAATTAAATTCAAAATCATGCAAATCTAAAGTTTTATTTTCTTTGTGTCTTTAAATGAATCGTTCAAGTAGAAAAGGAACATATACGAACGATATTTCATTATTTTTCATATTTAGCATTTGTATAATTAAAAAATTTCAAATGCAAGCTGGTAAACATGAAAAAAATAGTAGGAGATTTCGTGCATTAAATAATGTTAGAAATTCATATGGCTTAATCTAAATGGTTTTTTTTAAGATTATTGTTATGATTTCATATATAAATTGTAAGGAAATTCTAACAAAAAAAAAGTGGTTTCCTTTATAAGTACTTATATCAAGTTTAGGCTAAGGGATTTATAATCACAGACTCCTGCTCAGACCACAACTTAGTGCTCCTCTTCTTCCGAGGAGGTGGCATCCTCCTCCGCCTCCTCGGCCATCTGCTGGCGCACCTTCTGCCGGACCTTGGCATCCTCGACCAGGTGCACTGGTTGGATATAAGTCTTGTTGGCACAGCCGAGAACCGGACACCGGATGCCGATGTTGTCCTTGATGATCAGCATCACCGAGTCGCGGTCGTAGATGTGACCGCATTTAGTGTTGCGCACGGGATTCTTCATCAACTCCTTGGACCAGGGATCGTAAAGCGAGTAGATCTCGCCGCCTGTCTCCTCGACTCCCTCGATGATGAGGTCGTCATCTTGGTTTGTGCTATTGGCTTGGGTATCCTGTGCGGATCCCTGCGAAGCTGCAGCTTGCACAGCTCGCGTGAAGTTCTTGAACTCGCCTATGTTCTTGACATTGATGCGCTTTTTATCCAACGCCTCGCGACGCTCCTTCCAAGTCCCCTCGAACTCCTCGATGGTGGCGCTCTCGCTTTGGACTTGCTGCATCGCTTGATTGAGGGATTGGTGCTTGCTTTTTAGACGGATGAGATTCTCGGCGTGCTCCACGCGCCGCTTGGCGCCTTCCTCCAGCAGTTTTTGTATCTCCCCGCCATCATCGAACTCGGACATGGCTGTCGGCGGATCGAATTTTCTTAAAAAGTGTTTCTTCGGGTCATTTATAAACTCACCATCGGCCATTTCTCTAAAGAATTTAGTATTCTCCACAAACGTTGCGAGCGCGGCATCCACATGCTGATTAAATTCCATTGTTAAGCGAAATTATAAATGATCTCCTGAACTGAATTACAATTTGAGCCATATGTTTGAGAACGACGTAAATCGATTGTTCGATAGGCAGGCTGAGCTAGAGATGGGCAGAAGTTGAAGAACTAACTGGTTTCAGTGAACCGCGACTTTAAAAAAGTGATTACTGCCACAAGTCACGTTTTTAAAACACTTAATAAGTATATATTTAATTCGAATATATAAAATAAAGGTAAGCATTGGTTTTAAAATTGTGAAGTATAAACTAAAAACACAAAATAACAGTACAAGTAATATAGTGATTTAGTGTGCCCGCTGCACTGCCCCTAAGGTCACACTGGCCGGCGAAAGAACCGGAACACCTGAGTGTTATCGGCGTTATCGGCTGAAGCTAACCTGGTTAAGCGGCGGCCAACTTTGCAGCGGGACAGACGCCGAGCAGACGGACGAGCAGCGCCAACGCGACCGCCACCAGTTGCTCCAATCCAATCCCACCCAACCAGTGCCAGCTGTGCTCCACCTATTCCCCCAGCTCCACGTGTCCGGGAGAAAGCGATAACGGTGATGCAGGCGCAGGGATTGCACCTGGTGCTCCTGGCCCTCCTGCCCACACTGGCCCTCGGACTGCTGGAGGGCCTCTACTGCGGCAAGGAGGACTGCTACGATGTGCTGGGTGTCAACAGGGAGTCGTCCAAGTCGGAGATCGGCAAGGCCTACCGCCAGCTGGCCAGGCGCTATCATCCGGATCTGCATCGCGGCGCGGAGGCCAAGGCGGCGGCGGAGACACAATTCAAGCTGGTGGCCACCGCCTACGAGATCCTGCGCGACGAGGAATCGCGCACGGACTACGACTACATGCTGGACAACCCGGATGCATACTATGCGCATTACTATCGCTACTACCGGCGACGCGTGGCGCCCAAGGTGGATGTGCGCGTGGTGATCGTGGTCGTGTTGACCATTGTCTCCGTCATTCAGTACTATTCCGGCTGGCAGCGCTACGACTCGGCCATTAAGTACTTCGCCACGGTGCCCAAGTATAGGAACCAGGCCCTGGACATAGCCCGCGACGAGATCCAGGAGAGGATTCAGAAAAAGGGCAAAAACAAAATGTCGAAAAACGACCAGCGCGAGGAGCTGGAGCGGATCATCCGGCGGGTGATCGAGGAGAAAATGGACGTGAAGGGCGGCTATGCGAAGCCGACCCTGTGGGATGTGCTGTGGGTGCAGCTTATCATCTGCCCGTACACGATACTGTCGTTCATCGTGTGGCATGCCCAGTGGTTCTGGCGCTACACGGTGATGAAGCAGCCGTACGGTCGGGAGCAGAAGCTGCACCTGATCCGCCGCCACCTGGGCATGGGTCAACATCAGTTCGAGGCGCAGGAGGACAAGCTGATCGAGGAGTATTTGCATCTGGAGCTGTGGGAGCGGGACAATTTCGTCGCCTGGAAGGCGGAACAGGATGAGGAGATGAAGAAGAAGCTGGCGGAGAATCCGCGCTACAAGGCCTACAGGCGGTACATGAAGAACCACGGACCCGGTCGCATCACCTTTGAGGATTAGCCGGTTCAAGTTTTATTGTTCCATCTGGAGTATGTTGTGTGTGTAAAACCGATCCATATTCCTCGCCCTCGCCAATCCCTACCATCTAAAATTTGATATATATATATATGTATATTTTTTGTACACCGACTAAAATATGAATTATGTTAATGCCCCGGCGTCCGCCGAAGGGCGAAACGTTGACCCCCGCCGGAGTGATCTGCCAAAACCGGTTCAAGAACGTGGCCAAGTTCGGTTCTCGTCGCCACAGTGGCCGCTGGCTAGCGTGGACGAACCACCTTAGAACAATTACCCCCCTGTCGGTCACAAAATCCACGTCGTACGCGTGTTTCCAACTAACTTGACTAACCCGAGTAATGTAATAAACTAGATAGAATTTATCCGTTTCTCTTACTGGGTATTCACTGTGTCCAGTTTGCACAGTTGTTCTGGGTAGCCAAAAATTCGATTTCGTGGCACAAAACTAAAACTTCTTTCCCCCTAAACAGCATCTTATCGCGCTTTTGTTTGCACAGTTTGCTTAGAAATAATTTCATTTTTTTCGGATAGCGGGGTTGGGGATCAAAACATATAGCTAACCTTAAGTACGTGCCTCAAATACAGGTGAAATATAAAAGAAAACACGTCTGAATTTTGGGCATAGCCTTCAAATAGGCAATGTGTTTATGTGACAGTATCAGTCTGATTTCGAAATAATAAAAGATTTGCGATTTAAATAATGACACATCATATTTTTGATTTAACCAGCATCTTGAGACAAACATTTCCGTTTTAAAACTTTAGTAAAATATCAAAATAATAATACGGTTTTTAGTAAGTTACTTAAAATTATTTCTTTATTTATCTAATAAACAGTAAACATCCTTGAAAACCAAATTCAAAGTTGGGATCTTTAGATTTAAAAATGTAACTTTTCGAAATAAATAAGGAAGGGCTTTGTATTATTTCGAATTATATTGAATAGTTGTAAATTTGAGATCCTTCATAAGGAAATATTTTGATTTAGCTCCCTTAAATAAAATCCATATAACATTTATTGTAAACTTAGTTTATCAAATATTTTCCATGGAATCCCCCTAGGATCTTAGCATAATAATTGTAATATTATTTTTGCAAACTGTAATTTGCACTGGGCCATTTAAATCGACAACATATTTTGTATGTTTTAATACCTTTTCATTTTATTTACACCGATTTTGCGGGGCTTAGAATTATGTTTCTAAGTTTTGTGGACTAAAAACTACTGGGTGGGGATGTTTGGGGGTCCCACATATATTTAGTAATCGTTATGGGGGGATGATTACTCCTGTGGACCAATTGTTTTGTGTGCACAATTGATTACATGTCGGGGGAAGAGCCCCTTAGTAGAGTGCAGTATTGTCCAAGGACAAATACTAGTCAATCATGTATTTGGATTCGTCGACAAACTGCTCGGTGTCGAGTAGATCGCCGACCAGCTCCTTGACCGAGCGTACACTCTGATAGCCATCGACGTCGTCGAAGTCCGGCTCCGGGTACGGCTCGTCTTGCTCCAGCTCCTCGTCGCCTCCGACCACCTGCTCCTCCTCTACATTATCCTCCTCGTTGAACATAAAGTCATTCGCGACAATGCATTCCTCCAGAACTTTGGTCTGCTTGAGTACCACGGAATCCATCGGAAAAGCCTCGGGGACTTGCTTGCGCACCGGCTCCCTGCGCACTGGCTCCCTTCTGGTGGGCAGACGCAGGCTGCGAGCGGATCCTCCAGCGGACGACGATGAGCCCGCCGTATCGCCGCAGCCCGCTCCGCCACGGTGCTGGTCCATGTGCGCCGACAGATAGCTCTTCTTGGTGAATCCCTTGTCGCACTGTGTGCACTGGAACTGTTTCTTGCCGGTGTGCGTACGCCGATGGACAGACAGTACGTGGGCGTAGGCGAATCCCTTGTGGCACACCTCGCACACATACGGCCGCTCGCCGGTGTGGATCCTCTCGTGCTTCTTGCTGCTCCCGAAGTCCGAGAAACGGCGCTCGCAGAAGCGACAGCCGTACGGCTTCTGGCCGGTGTGTACACGCATGTGACGGCGCAACTCCACGTTCGATATGAATGCCTTCTGGCACACCTCGCAGGGATACGGACGTTCGTTGTTGTGCCGCCGCATGTGAGCATTGAGGGCGTGCTGGTACTTGTACGTATTTCCGCACACATCGCAGATCTTTGGCGAGCGCTCGGAGTGACGGCGCTTGGTCGCCGAAGCCGGCTTGTAATCCTCATCTCGGTCCGGACCCGGCAGCCTTTCCCGCTTGACAATCGGTGAAACCCGTCGGTAGGTGCGCTTTCTCAACTGGCTGGTGGGCTGTGGCGGTGGCGGTAGCAACGGCGGGCTGTCCACCACGGATTCCTCCATCAGCGGCGTCTCAATCTCGTACATATGATCCGGGGTGTGGTCGGCATCCCAGGGATCCAGGCCCACCATCTTGTCATCTTCTTCTTCTCCCTCCTCCTCCTCCTCCTCCACCTCCTCCTCTTCTACCTCCTGCTGCTCGTCGGAGTCCTCATCCCCTGGCTGCTCCTTAATGGGATCTTGCACCTGCAAACCGTTCAGGGATAGAACCATGGCTCCATCTGGCAGCAGGGTAAGGGCGTCTGCCTCCTCCTCCTCCACATCCTGGTAGTAGGACGGCTCGGTTACCGTTGTCATTTCACTTCGAACAAAGTTGGAAAAGCTGGGCTCCATGTCCAGCCGCTTGATCTTCAGTGTGGCGGGCAGCCGCAGTTGGGCGTGTTTCAGGTCCAGCTTGAGCTGCTCCTGCTGCTGGTCGACAAGCAGCGAGGATGGGGATGGGGATGCGGAGGGGGAAGAGGAGGCGGAGGCGCCGCTGGCCGAGTGGAAGAGCTTCTGGACGGCGGCGCACTTCTCGTGGAAGCGATATGACACGGACAACTCCAGTTGGCACTGCTTGCAGATCTTGTCCGGCCAGCGCTGCTGCTGCTCAGGGCCGCCGTCCAGTTGCAGGCCGGTGCAGTGGCGGATCTTCTCCAGGATGAGCATGTGCGGCGGCTCTGGATCGGGGCCATAGATCGAGCTCGCCTCGGGCTCTTCCATCAGGCAGACCAGGCAGGCCACGCCCAGGTCCACCACCCGCGACTCCAGGTTGTTGGGCATTACTAGGATCTCGGACAGAAGCTGGGCTCTAGCTGTTCCTCAAGCTGGGGCCAAATATCCACACGCGCGGCCAAAAAAAAAACACTTCTGTTGCTAATTCACGTTAGGGATGACACTCGCTTGTTTTTTGGTACCTTATACTCACTCACGACGCTCACGAAGGTCACACAACTATCGGTATGGTTTGGTTGTCAATTTTCAAAATTGATTTTATTACAATTTACTGACCAGCATTCAATTGTTATTTTAATTTCGGACTTTTGTAAATATCAGGTTCTTTTATTTTTCAAATTAACTGTGAAGTAAGAGTTGTGGACAATTACCCAAAAAAGTTTAAAAAGGTAAATTAGTAAAGGGTTTTTTATAACAATGAATTACACATATACAAGTTGCTTATATTTTTATTAAAGTCTGAATTGATAAAATGTTTTAAGACACCTCGTTTTTCTGTTTAATATTCTAATAGAGATTATTATCAATAAATAAAGCACAAGCCAATTTGTAAACGCCATGTATATTTCTAGTAATATTAGGTAATTTTTATAAAGGCTTATACTAAAGGAAATCCACATCCCCATTTTTCAAAAAGCTTCGCCAATGTTGACATTTTCTAATTAATTTATAAATCAATCGATTGTGATAAATTAAGGTATACTTAAGTATATAAAGCTATCGTCAGGCCAACAGCCTTTTACTAAACAAATAAAATATCATTTAATACAGAATAATCACAGTGATTCCCTTAGAATTTCTTTAATGGCCTGGGTTAGAGGAAATACTGGTTTCTCGTTGTATTTTGAGTTTGGCAAATAGCCGCACGCATTTTTGAGGTCATCGGTGTTCAGGGAGAAGACCATGACGCCACCGAGATTGAGGGACTTGACATAGTTCGCCTTGCAGGCAATGCTCGTTTGGTTTTCATAAGATATCCACTCTTGCAGGGCGCCCAAGTAGGGCGAACAAGTCTCGGCATCGTAGTGGAAATTGGGTTTTAAGTATTTGGAGGCACACTCGCAGGTTTCCGACAGTGTGGTGAACCCAAGTTGGCCACATTTGCCAAAACCCGAGGCTGGCGCTCCTATCCTTTGATTTAAGGGATTCACCAAGCTGTTTGATTGGGTTAAGAGTTGAATTAAAGGGAGCTGCATTGATGAAAGATCATAGCTACTAACGTGAAAGAGTGTCCGTAGGTGGGCAGACCCACCACCAGTCGCTGAGGCTCCAGACCGCTTTTAAGCCACCATTGAACCGTGTAGTTGATGTTAAACGTGGCCATCAGGGAACGTTCCTGGGCACGAGCGTAGAGCGGGGCGTTCAAGCCCGTAAATGGCGTGTCCCCGCGGTAAAAGTGGAAATCGTAGGCCATCAGGTTGACATGGTCTGCGTACAGATTCAGCTCCCTGATGTCGTAGGCATAGAGGGCGATTCCCTCGGGAGCAGCCACCGCCAGCGAGAGTATATTGTTGGACCGCTTCTCGCGCTGCCACTCCGTCCTGATCTCGTAGAGCAACTGGGAGAGATGCATTCGCTCACGGTCGTAGGCACTCGGGAACTCCCAGTCCAGATCGATGCCATCCAAGCTGGGATAGGTGCGCAGTACTTCCCGGAGGGAACGCAGGAACACCTTTCGCATCGCATGATTCGCCACCATGTGGGCGAATTGCACACCGCTGTCGGCTCCTCCGATCCACAGGAGCAGGTGCACCTGCGGATGGGCAGCACGAAAGGATCGGCTGTCGTTCTGCAGCACCTGGATCAGGGAATCAGGCAGAACTATGGTGGCATTGTCCAAGCTGGCGGGCCCGATATTGATGTGGGTGCACAGATCGCCGGGAATATCCAGCAGGCTGAGACTGTGTGATCCATCGCTGGCATAATAGCACACCAATCGCTGGCCCACTTGCACAAATCTTTGAGACTGGAGACCCAGTAATCCAAGGCAAATGAAACCCAAGGAAAGGCACAACAAAAGCGACAATAAAACACTCCAGCAGATCAAAGTTCGCAGGCCCGATTTCCGTTGTCCTTGGGTGGACAACTCATTTATGATCCGCCCCTGGACATTGTCCTCCAGTTGCTTATAGTTGCTCCTCATCTTTTCTATTGTTCTTCTGGTGAATTATCCATTAAATTTAAAAAATCTGTTTTCTTATCACGCCACAAAAAACGAAAACAATAACAGGCCTGCCATCCTTTGTTGGATTTAGTATATTTCGATAATTGGTATGGTGTGGTATTTTTTTTATATATTTTAGAATCAGTAATCAGTGGAAACGTAATAAGTTTGTATTCCCTGTACGGCCGAATTTTTAAAATTATGCTTTTGCCAAAGTAAACAAAGTGTTTCCAAAATGTAGAATATTTTTAATATATATATGATATTTTCTGCCATTCCATCCAAGGTTTTTTAAATGCACTTTGTGGAGGCGGAACTTATGCATTTTGTTGTCTAGCCTTTTCTGGTATTTTTAAATCCCCCAAATATATCGATTGTTATCGAAGCCCGTCTATTGCTATTGTTTTCTTTTTGTTTTACTTGAATTGAACAAAAAAAAAGGAATATAATGTTGTTTTGTGCTGAAAATCAACGTTCAAATAGGAAGTAGAACAGGGATTTACTATTATTTTCCCACAAATAAACCCGAGAAAGACAGGGGAATCCCCAATCCCAAATCCCAGTTGTTTATGCGATCCAAGGAGCACCATGGAGGACTACGATCCGGAGGACTATGACCTGAACTTTGTGCAACTGAGTCGCCAGCAGGTGCTGCAGCGGTATTCGGGTGCAGTGCGTCAGCTGCGCCGCTTGGCGGAACAGCGGTATGCGGTGCGATCCCTGAGCTTTGACAACTATGTGCTGTTCCAGTATTTCCGGCAGCGCAACTGGCAGATGGGCATCACGCCCCTCATGCCAACCGCCCCCCTGATGGCGTACCTCAAATTGGAGGTACTGCATCATCTGCTGGACCGGCGGCGCCAGATCCTCTGCTGGCTGTTCTACCTGACGCTGGTGTCGCTCTGCGTGGCCGCCTACCGATATGAGACGACCAGCACCACCGGTGGCCAACAGGAGCGCGTGGTCCAGGCCATGGTATATCCGGGGATGCGCATGTGGCGGCGGATGACCATGCCGCTGATCCAACGCTTCCCACAGCTCACCGAGCTCTACGACGAGTCCTGCCTGATGGGCAATCCGTTCTTCCAGCTGGAGGATCTCAGCTGTGGACCGTGCGCCGATGTCGAGAGTGTTTGGCTGGAGAACGAGGAGTGTGGAGATGGTGCCCACCCGTCGGAGCAGCACCACCAGAAGTGCCATCAGCCCGAGGGCTTGCCCTTTGCCTTTCGCAGCCAGCAGCTGGAGACCATTGAGTTGAGCCACTTCTACAACATTTATGCCAGCAATCATCAGATCTTCCAGCGCGATGCATACCGCGTGCAGTCCACCAACCAGGATGTGCACAATCTCGAGGATCTCTTCGGGCAGTTCAACAGCAGCTGGACACAGCAGGCGCATAATCTTTGGCGCTGCAATCGGATGCTGCCCGCCAGACTTCTGCGTCCCATTTTCGCCCGGCCAACGCGTCTGCCCAGCATGGGCGTAGCATTGGAGCGTTATGTGGCCATCGATACTGCCCAGGCGCCAGCCTACACTCTGCCAGAGACGGAATGCCCCAATGTGTACGTCCACCAGGCGGTTGGCACGCGGTTCATCATCCTGCGACCCACCAGTGAGTGCCGGCACCGCTGTCGCACCTTGTCCTTGCGACTCACCCAGTCCTTTGTGCGTGAGTATCGTCCATATCCTTCATATTTCGGGTGATACCTCACATGGAAAGGCTCTCTTTAATGGACATTTATGGGAACTATAAGAGTATTGAGTTTATTTTTAGGATTCCCTAAATAGGATGGAAAGCTAGCTTATTTCGTCAGTCTTGAACAAAGAACATCTCAATGCCTTTGCTAGATTGTTATAAAACAACCAAGGTATGGCCCCATCTGTATAAGTTCTATGGTCTTTTAAAATCCATATGCGCGTTTGCATGAAAAAGAAGTAGATAGCGATTGATTCCGGTGGATAGCTTCTAAACTAAGTGGTTAAATCTACGTGATGATTGCCAGATAACAATCATGATAAGCTCATAATAAACAATATGTGTTATTCTGAAAATATAAATATGTGATAATTGCAAAGAAATGTTTGCCCCAGAGTGGAAATTATTCTGCAATTATCAATATGCTCTGATAAAGTGATACGCCAGTTTTGATAATGATGTTTTTTTAGTAAATGATATATGGCATATAGAACCTTCCAATGTGTGTCGTTAAACTTGCTCAATTTCTTGCTAATCATCCTTTTTTACAGTCAGCTACAATTGGTTGTACTGGAAACCGATCTCTGCACCGGATCCCATCTCGGAATCGCTGTCCATCAGCCAAATTGGCTCCTACTGCTAGAGGATCCAGATTTAGATCCTGATCCTGTTCCCACTTCCTCGCTCCTAGCTTTAAGCGCCATATATATACACACACACACAACCACGACTTTAACCAAGCCAAAATTAAATTACGAATTTTGCCGCTCCATTGGATAAGCAAGCAAAACAAAAACGAAATGAAAGAAGGAAGAAAGGAGGGATAAACCCCAAAGGAAGGAAGCTAGAAGCTGCCTTCGCTATCAGTTTTAAAACTTTAAGGCCACCGGCTCAATTCGTCGCCCTGTGTAATCCTCAAGCACTAGATCGTAATCCTAGTTTAGTTTAACAGTTAACAAGCTCCTGGCCGCCGCGCTTCATCCTTGTGTTCGTCGTTTTAACCATTTTGCATTTACAACTCGACTCTAAGTTCCGTTCACACCAACTAGCGTAGCAAACGAAAAACTATTTTGTAAATACCAATGCCAGACTTGAGTTTGACTTTGTGTTTTTGCAACAACTCACGAAATAAAAAGATACCTAATATTACACTAAGCGTACACGCATTAATTTTCCATTCTCAAATGAGGTTTTTACTTTTAAATCTGAGAACCGATTTAACAGAAACATTTTTAAAAAATGACAAAATCAATTTAGATATTTGGTGAATCAAGGATTCCAGTTTATTATTAACTGAACAGAATCAATAGTCTACTTCAAAAATCGATTTTCGTATTTAGTTTATTGTCACAAAATTTAGTTATATACGTTTTCCATAAGAAAAGATTTGGAAATTTTTAAAATTATTTATTTAATGGTTCATAAAGTGTAAATTAACCAAACTTTTTTTTTCCCAAACATTATTTCATTTAAAAAACAAGAAATAACAAGAAAGGAAAGCTAACTTCGGGCGAAGCCGAAGTTGATATACCCTTGCAGAGTACTCTGTAAATTATATTCTCCAAAATTATTCATATGATGCATTCTTAATACTCATAAAAAATCACAACTTTCTTACTTTAAAAACACCTAAGTTATGGCATTTCCAATCGTTCAGTTATATGGCAGCTATAGGATATAGTCGGCCGATCCTTATGAAATTTGATAGGTCGGATTGATTGGCCAAAAATAAAGCCCATAGAAAATCCCAACTTCCTAACTTAACAAACTCCAAAGTTATGACATTTCCGATCAATCAGTTATATGGCAGCTAAAGGATATAGTCGGCCGATCCTTATGAAATTTGGTAGGTCGGATTAATTGGTCAAATATAAAACCCATAGGAAGTCCCAGCTTCCTAGCTTTGCAAACACCAAAGTTATGTCATTTCCAATCGTTCAGTTATATGGCAGCTATAGGATATAGTCGGCCGATCCTTATGAAATTTGGTAGGTCGGATTGATTGGCCAAATATAAAACCCATAGGAAGTCCCAGCTTCCTTACTTTACAAACACCAAAGTTATGGCATTTCCGATCAATCAGTTATATGGCAGCTATAGGATATAGTCGGCCGATCCCGTCCGTTCCGACTTATATACTGCGTGCAAAGGAAAGAAGGGTGTGTGCAAAGTTTCAGTTCGATAGCTTTAAAACTGAGAGACTAGTTTGCGTAGAAACAGACAGACGGACAGACAGACGGACAGACAGACGGACAGACGGACAGACGGACATGGCTATATCAACTCAGGAGGTGATCCTGATCAAGAATATATATACTTTATAGGGTCGGAGATGTCTCCTTCACTGCGTTGCACACTTTTGACCAAAATTATAATACCCTCTGCAAGGGTATAATGAGCAAGATTCTTTATTTAAAGTTTTTTTTTTGTGACACCCTAATGATTTAAAAAAAAACAGTTTTTAGTTTTAAAATTTATTATTTTACACGTTTTTTTTTTACAAAAATGAAGCAACCAAGTAATCCATATTGGGAAATGATTGGTAAAGAGATTAATACTACGGTTTGTCTACATTTTTCTGTCCCTTCCGCAGGGCATCGAAGTAGGAGCCGGTCATGAGGTCCTCCTCCTGGATGCCCAGCTCCTTGGACAGCTCCTCGGCGATGGTTTGTCCCTGCTCCAGCGTTTGCTCCGGCCTTAGACACACCTCCAGCTCCATGAAGTGGCCCAGATCCTTCACCTCGTCCAGATGGATGCGAGTTTGTCCGTGCAGGAATAAATGCCGCCGCTTGGCGAGTACTCCAAGTACTCCGTTCGACTGGCGTAGGATCTTCTCCAGCACCTCCGGTTCGTCCACCTCCGTCTTGTTGAACTTGGAGAGCTTGGGACCGGCGACATCCGGGCGATCGTAGTAGACCAATTGGGATCGCAATGGAGCCTGTAAATAGCGCAACTTGAGGCGTCCGCCCAACGGAGATTCAAAGAAAACATCGTGCTGCTCAATTATCTGCGCATCCTGGCCGCCGCTTAGTTTTCTAGCCCGGATTAGGAGTTGCGCGAAGCCCTCGGCTCCGCCCGGAATGCGTGCCTTCACCTCCACATTCCGCTGATCCGCCGGAGAAACCGCTTCGCACATGTTTGCAAAAGGTAAATGTAAGCTTTTGTTTTTGCCAAAATAGCGGCGATAACCGATAGAATTCCGCACAAGATACTTGCTATAGAGGAACATAAGTGCCGCCGTTCTCACTGACCAACTTTAGATAACTTGAAACCTATCGAACACGAAAGAAAAATTAATTGCAGAATTTTATTTAAGTTTGCTATTTTTTAAAGATAAAATCTCTATGGAATTGGCCAAAATCAAGATAAGCCCCAAATCAAAAGAAGATCATCGCACAGAACACCCCTGTTTTTATACACCAAAAACCTCCTCCAAAAAACGACAGCTGAAACACAGCATTTTGTGTCATTTTGAAAAGGGATAACAAAAATCGATAATTGAGAACGCTGAAAAATCTGTATCGGGTTGGCGCTCAATTTAAAATGCTGATTGTTTCCCTGCTAGGCGGGAAATTCAAATTGTGCACTTAAATTTGCTAGGTATTGTGTGATATTAATGGATAGAAAGGCTAATTCTAGTAGTTTATTTTTGATGTTATGATGTAAGCATTTTGGTATTTCCTTTTAAATATTATATATGAAAACAAATTTTTATATTTGCTAACAATTATCCATTATCCTTTGACTGTTAGATGAGTGATGGAATTGGGAACATATTACGGTATTGCAGGGTATAAGCTTATACATACATATGTACATGTGTATTTATGTACGCACATAGCTTTGTTCATTTTGAACAAAGAAAGTCCAACAACAATATATAAATTATAAAAAAAGAGTCAATTACGAAATTGTCTGTATGTATTAAATATGTATATACATATATATGTCATACATACATATATATTCAGTGAGCGTGCAACATACAACTTGAATAGTCTCTTGTCGAGGCCCCGTTTCGTGAACAGCAATAAAGAGGAGAAGAGGAGGAGGAGGAGAACGAAAAGGGGAGGAGGGAAAACAGAAGAGGAGGTGGACAGACGATGCCTCACAACGAACCCATATATTTATGTATATATGTATGTATATACATAAACTAATATATATGTATGTATGTACTTATTTCCGTATATATCGCTTCTGTATATGTGTGAGTGCAGGGTGGTGGCGAAAAGGGCGGGAAAAAGTGGGCGTGGGCGGGGTTCCCAGGGGTTGTTGTTGCTCTGTTCCACCGAGTAGACTTTGCTAGGGGTAAGAAAAAAATGAGGATAGGAGAAGTGGGACAAAGGAAGAAGACAGGAAGAAAAGAGAAAAGAAAAGCGAGGGAAAAAGAACAAGAACAATAGAAATTCAAAACCGCTTGGAGTAGTCTTTTGTTTTCTTCTTTCCGTTTCTTCTGTCGCCATCGCTTCATTTTATATTTTGGGCTTTTCTCAATGTTTTCTATTTTCCTTTTAATATCAAGTTTATTTTTAAGTTGTTTTGTTGAACTACATGAACCTTTTCTTCTACTTCCCAACAACTTCTTATTTTTACCCTGATCACTTTTATCTATTAATTCCCTTACTCTTTTCTCATTTGTTTTTCCTTTCTAATTTTTCTCTCATTACTTTTTTCTTGATCTTGGTTTTCTATTAGTATTTTTTTGTTATTATTTTCAAAACACATATTGTAAGCGATTCTTCTTTCCCTCAATTTCATGTTCTGATCATTTTCTAGCTTTTTTTATCATTGTCTTTACACTTTTTGAAAGCGGTTTTTGATATTTATAATTTTCTTCTCCCTTTTTTTCGCAGCCATTATTTTTTTCTCCCTCCCATTTTTCTTTTGCTATGATTTATTACATTTTTTGGCTTGAAGCTGCTTAAATGTATTTTTAATTTGTTAGCCATGTTTGTTTGTCGTTTCTTCATCTTCTTTTACTTGATTGATTTCCCCGGTTCCGTTTAAACATTTTTTATGAAGTAGAAAAATTAAATAAAGTCTGATACTGTCTATGGACTTTTATATACTAGATCATACTTGAAAGAGCGCTATCTCTTTCTTTCAGCATACATATGTATGTATGTATATTTTGTACCCAGTGAAACTCTATATTGTATGTACATATATTTTCTTTCGTTATCATCGTTTATTCATCATGGAAACTTATAAAATGGGAAATGTATATCTTATAACATGGAATTATTATCTATGTTTGTACATACATATATATACAGCTATAATAGCTGCAGATATAAAATACATACACACACATGCACAGCTGAGGTCAAAGTACTAGTCTGAGTTATTTTATACAGTATAATGTAAGTCTTTAATCCCATTCAAAAAAATTTTGAACACATCTGTGTAGAAAAGTAATACAAATTAATTCAAACAAAAGTATCAAACATTCTTAAAATAATAAAACCAAAACAAATTTTATATAACCAGAATGTTACTGTTAACGAAAATTCTGAGAGTAGTGTGTTTTTGATAAAATTATCAAAATCATTTTATCTAATAAAATCGAAAAAAAAAGTTACCATAAGTGCACCGAATTTAAAACATTTTTGAAAAACCTACTAATATGCATTTCCATCTTGTTGACCGTGATTGTTGGCTTGAATATGTACGTATGTATGTACATATGTATGTATGTATGAAACTTTAGCCATAGTGAATGGGAAAGCAACAAAATCGTAGCCAAAACAAGAAGCGGGCGAAAATGGAGTGAAAAGAGGAAAGGGGGGATTGGGAAAATGGGGGGGTGGGGCGGAAAAGTGGGAGGGAGAAAGAAACGGGCTGATGCATGGTAGAAAACTGAAGGGGACGGGGAGAGGTAGACCAAAATTTAATGCAGTTTTCTCAATTTTCTATGTGGAATTCTGCGATGCTCGACGTCGACTGCGACGCCGACTGCGACTGCGGCAGAGGCAGCAATATAAAATGACGGCGACGACCTTCGCTACTGCAACCGTTTTTGTTGTTGTAGTTGTCGCTTTTGTTGTGGTTGTTGTGTTTTCTTGCCTTTTGTTGTTGTTGCTGTGGCCCTCAGTTTTTGGTGGCCGATGGCACAAAATTGTATATTGGCCATGTACAAACTCAGACACCCAATAAACACCCATACACCGAGAAAAATTTAATATTTACATACATATGTAGATGATATATTTTTATTAAAAGGAGAGTAGGCTAAATCGGTGAAAAAGGGCAATTTTTGTAATTTTTTTTTAAACCTCTAAAATCTTTTTTAAAAACCCAATAGTTTGTTTTATTACGACTTCGCAATGGGTTGAGATACATAAACATACCAGGTATACCGGTATGAAATAAACGTTTTTTTGTGAACATAAAACACTAATTATTAATGGGAAAGTAAAAAACATTTTATTCCAAGTATTGGCCATTGTTTTCTACACATTTTGACCATATTTCTGGCAATTTTTGGATACCACGCCAATAAAAATGTTCGTCTTTTAAAGCAAACCAATCAGACACCCAATTTTCGACCTCCTCGTAGGAATCAAAGAGCTGCTCAGCCAATGCGTGTCCCATCGATGAAAACAAATGGTAGTCGGAAGGATCCAAGTCTGGTGAATACGGCGGGTGGGGTAGCACCTCCCACCCAAGTGTTTTGATTGTATCCTGAATCAGTTTTTCTTTGTGTGCAGGTGCATTGTCATGGAGCAAAATTACCTTGCCGTGTCGTCTGGCCCATTCTGGTCGTTTCTCGATCAATGCATGGTTCAAATTGATCATTTGTTGTCGGTAGCGATCGGTATTAACGGTTTCACCAGGTTTTAGGAGCTCGTAGTACACCAAACCTTTCTGGTCCTACCAAACACACAGCATTGTCTTATTGCCGAATCGATCTGGTTTTGCAGTCAATGTTGATGGTTGTCCTGGATTATCCCATGATTTTTTCCGTTTAGGATTCTTAAAATAAATCCATTTTTCATCGCCAGTAACAATCCGATGCAAAACCGATTTTCTTCCGTGTCTTTGAAGCAAAATCTCACAAGTGTTTTTTCGGTTTTCCATCTGTCTTTCATTCAATTCATGTGGCACCCATTTTCCACACTTTTGGATCATTCCCATAGCTTTTAAACGGTCAGAAATTGTTTGCTGTGCAACATTTAAGATTTCTGCCATTTGCTTTTGACTCAAAGTGTCATCTCCATCCAATATCGTTTGCAATTCGGCGTCTTCAAACTTTTTTGGTGGTCTTCCACGTTCTTCATTTCTCACATCAAAATCATTATTTCTGAACCGTTGAAACCATCTTTTGCATGTTGCTACTGATAGAGCAAGATCACCATATGCCTCGGCAAGCATTCGATGCGACTCTGCAGCACTTTTCTTTAAATGAAAACAAAAAATTAATGCTTTCCGCAAATCATCACTTTCTGGTACAAAATTCGACATTTTTAATACGATGAAAAATATGATGTCTGTTCAATGACTTGATGCATACTAAATATGTATGTTTCACAGATGTCATAGCAAACACAAAAAAATAAAAAAATAAATAAAGGCTGTTCCCTATCGAGACATTTGTATCTTGACGCTCACTTCATACCGGTAAACCTGGTATTTTATTCAAGTGTGTCTATTAAATGCATAAATATGTATGAAGTGAATGTATGTTTTGCGGGCGTTTTATATAAAGAAAGACTCTTTTGTGTATGTATCTGGCTTATGCGATTGTAACTGTTTACCACCTATCATCTACCGTTCTCCCTCCCACTCAATCGCCGCCCGATATTGCCATCTCTTTTTTAACATAACCAGCTGCGACTTTAACTTTACAGTTGTTGTTGTTGTTGCCCTGTCTCTTTTGCTCTTTCTATCTGTGTGTGTGCTTATTTTATGTTTTTTTTTTTGTCGTTCGAGAGAGAGATACTTTGACCTTTTTTTCCCATCAAGAAGTCTGTGAGCTGGAGATCATTGCAGATTAAATACACACACATACAGCAATAACAAAAAAATGTATCTGACGAATACACAGATTTGTATCTCGGCTTTTTTCGGTGTTCTTTTTTTGTTGTCCATTTGCTTAATATTAATTCTCTCTTATTCGCTTTTTTGGTTGTATTTTTATGTATATCCTTTTTTCCCGGCTTTTATGACTTCATTTTATCGCAAAAGCTTTTTCTTTTTTAATTTTTTCCCAATTTTGCTTGTGTATCTATAAGATACATATTG